CAGGGACTTACAGCAAAGACTTTGTTTTTGATCTCAGAGGAGACTTTGGACCTGGACTTTTCAGCAATGCTGAAACTGTTAGACCTTTGGCAACTCTTGCAGATGGACTAAATGTTTTTCCCATAAAGGGATTCATGAGTCTTTAGGGGGTCAGGGGCAGAATGTTGTGGCTTGTGTCTAGATAGCCCTCCAGAATCTCATGCAGGTATGTGCAGTAGGGCTCTTTTAGAGGTGGCTGGATGTAGAATATGGGATCCTGGGATTAAGGGGGTGGGTTAGTAAATTAGTACACTGATCAGTTTGGCACTGGCCCTAAGCTAAGTAGCCTAGGTAGAATATAAAAAGGGCAGAAGGAAGCTACTATTATTGCTTCTGTCTTGTTTGCTTTGTTACCTTTGGATTTCCATGGACTGTATCTCTTCTTCAATGCCTGTCTACCATGTTACCCTGCTTGGAGCCAGCAGACTATGAACTGAGACTTATACAAACTGTGAGCTAAATAAACCTTTCTTCCTTTCAATTTGGTTTCTGGGTGTTTTGTCTTAGAAATGAGAAAAAGTAATAAGACAGTAGTATTAATAGTTTACCATTTTAGATAAACCATAAAAATCTTGCAGCTATTTGTCCTTTACTTAATTTTCTTTTGCAGTACATATCATAAATATTATTTACATGTATTAAAACCTCATGACAAACTATTATCATTTATTTTTCCTTAATAATGTGTGTCTTAAAAAATAAAACATTTGTCTTTTATATTTGTGCATACATTTTTCATTTTGAATGCTCTATAGTCTTTCTTATCATTTCCTTTAACCTACAGGACTTCAATTGCCTGAAAATGGCTTGATTTCTCCTATGTTAATATTTTTCTGAAATTCAAAGTAACATTTTCCTTAAATAATTAAAGGTAAGAGAGTCTGCAGACAGAGTAATTTTAAGAAATTAGATAGATTAGTATCAAGCATATTGAGTTTGAGATATTTAAATCTCTAAGTAGATATATAAGCCTAGTATGACAATAGTCAGAATTGGATACAAAAAATTAGATATTTTCAACACATATATCAGATAATATCAAAAATGTTTTTGAAATGAATGCTTTTTATGATGGTATAAGTGATTTAACAGTGGCCAAAAGAACATAATGATAATGTATAAATAATATCCATTTTTATTTATAGGGCCAACATTTTTTCTTGTTAAATTCATACCCAATCAGCCATCACTATTTTTCTGAGAACTTTCCTCTATCCCAGCTCTTGAGAGGATATTACAGGAACATCCTTCTTGATTTTAACTTAACAGCACATGCATGAACCTATCAGATCATATCCTATTACATTTGAATTGGCTTTCAGAGTTGTTAACTAGATTGTGTTGATTTGGATAGAGGAATGTTCTAGCTGCATAAAATTACTAAGTGAGAAAGAAAACAGGAAATGGTGCCTTAGAAGTAGAGAAAGCTCTTATTTTCTAATGTATTTCTAGTTCTCAATTCTCATTCCTTATGAACTTTAACTGCTCTTTCTCTCCTTTGGTTTGATTAAGTGTTCATGTATCTTCATGCTAACATCCTCTCCTTTCCCCCTTTCTCTGCTTGCTCTCTTTTTTTGTTATTCTTGTTCTAGATATTGTACCTCCTGCTCTTGCTTTTGGCTCGCTCTCTCTCTCTCTCTCTCTCTCTCTCTCTCTCTCACTCTCCTGCTGCTTGATGCGTTGGGATGCTATTATTTTCAGTCTAAAAATGTTTAGCAGGCTCACCTTAATAAAGGGATTTCTAGTTGGTAAAGCACTTTCATACATTTCATTTGATCCTCCCAGGATCCCCTAATCCAAACTGATAGGTAACTTAAGTCACAACTGTATTAATTCAGAATTTGCCCCAAGAGAAGTGAGTTCCTGCCAACATATGCATTGCTTCCTGAGCACATTGGTGGGAAGAAAAAAAAGGCCTACTATATCACCAGCATAAGAGCTTCTCACCTAAAAGCCAGCTTTGCACAGAAGAAATAAGGAATAAAATTATCTTGGTTCTGTTTCTTTATATTCAATTTAGTCAAATCCAATATAACCTATTTTAATAGCTACGAGACAAGATTTTGTTTGTTTGTTTGTTTTGCACCTGGGGTAGAATTCAGGTCCTTGCACTTGAGAGGCAGGTGGTAAAACCACTGAGCTAAATCCCTGGCCCCTTAATTGCTAATAGAAATACATGTGCACATTTATTACTAAAAGTATTGAGCTATCATCTGCATGTAGATTGTCCCCTCTAAAACTAATGTTGAAATTTAATTCCTGATATTTGTTGGGAAGTGGAGGTAACCTTGAGAGGTATTTAGCTGATGAGTATTCCACCCTTACAAAGTGATTAATACTACTCTTTAGGAATAATAAAAGAAATGAGTTTTTGCTTTCATTAAACTGGACTATTTTCTAGAAGAATGGCTTGTTATAAAGCAAGCCTGATGAATACAGATACTTTTATTGAAGAATTAACCGTAAGACAGATGAGACCAAGAAAGATAAGTCACAAGCAATCCTGATAATAGAAAAGTAACTGCAGAATTCCTTAGTAGATTGTGCAGTTAATTGATTTGCTAATTTCCCAGGGAATAATAAAATTAGAGGGATATAGAAACCATGTAGCTCTGTTTCCATTAAGAAATAATAGTTTGTTTACTATCTCTCTAACTACTTTAATTCAAATTAGTTAAAGTACAATGTTTTGCACCTGAAAAGCAATAGTGTGAATATTTGTAAAGTGTGCCTTCTTTTATAGTTACCATATTACCAGAAACAAGATCTAATGATGTACAGTGGTATTAGGTGAAAAAAAATCACAAGCAGAAACCAAAGAGAAGAGGCAAAAATGTGAATGGTTGTGTGTAAATACATTATAATTCATATATTTCAGTGTAGTTCATAGAAATGAGATGTTTTCCAACCTCATTCCATACTGACACAGTACAAGTATCTAAAACTGTAACTGTATTTTTCACCCAAAGAGTACATATTTATTGGTACATATTGGTATTAAAACTTATTTTGTTCAGAAAATATCTCCTAGCATTAGTGTGATATTTGTTAGGGTTTGACTTCACATATCAGAATACCCACTACCCAGGAAAATCCTCCACTATGGTAGATATTAATATTTCATCAAAGTTTTACTGTTAACATACCATTACTTCTAATAAAATCATAGAAATTACAAGTGGTATATTTATTAAATGTGACTGGGATTTATGGGAAATCTATGGTTTCCCTGGTATCATTTTTTAACATTTTAAATGTACACCCTATATGTGCATTTCAGCATTTATTGTGAGGACATATCACTAGATTTTGAGTCTGTGATTCAAAAAAACTATCCAAAATTCCAACCTAAGTCTCCTCTTTTACAGAATAATACACTTGTAAAATTACTCTGTTCTTAATACAAAATTAAATAAGACTTTTTAGAAAAAGAATATCTGTCCACCTTGGGAGATTGTTATTTGCAAATTTTCAGTGCTTGGCCATGAATTACCTTTAAAATTTGTGCTTAGATGATGCTGTCACCAATCAAAATGTATGCGCAGAAGGAGGGATGAAAAATGTGACTCTCGGGCTCTTTTGACAGCTTTGAAGGTCACCAGTTACATAAAGTATAAAAGTCTCTCTCTGGGATAGGATATTTAATCAATTCTTTGAATAAAATATACCTTTGTTACTGCTGGTTCCATGAGTAGGTAACACCGTCCCACAGCTGTTTGCATTTGCTCCTTTCTAAAGTGCTTGTGTACCAAAATGTGGACATATTCTTACTAGAATGCTTTGGTTGTCATGACTCAAAATATGATGAAGAGCTAAGTGCCAAAAGAATTCTATATAATTACCAAAGATGAAAAAACTGCATTTCAATTAAACATTATGCTTTATATTTTCAGTGTTCTAGATATGATTCCTCAGATTAAGTAAAATCAAATGCAATGATAAAATATTAACAGATATTTTCATTTTACTGATTAAGAACCTGTCTATAAACATTTAATTTTTATAGGTTTACACTTAAAAGTAACATTATTCTCTTCATCATGAATGCTTTGTAGTAGTAATAAAAATTCTACTCACATAGCACTGTCAAAGTTTGCCAAATCAGCTGGGGATTTAGCTCAGTTGTTCTGCTGCCTGCCTCACAAGCACAAGGTCCCAAGTTTGATTCCTGGTACCAAAGATTGCCAAATCTCCACTGCCTGTTAGATTTTTGGAGATTACAGTGTTTGCACAAGAAAATATGGAATTACCTAATACTGAAAGGAAATGAAGGCTTCTGTCATAATTATATTCTAAAACTTTAGTATATATGAGTGCTATAGCGAAACAAAATTGAGTTTATTCTAATAGCCATATAGTAAAAGTAACTAATTTCTCTCAAAGGACACATTCGAAACTGGACTCAACCACTTTACTGGGAATACAAGGGACCAGGAGTATGAAAAAATATACAAGAAAATGAAACAGTTAGTTGTCAATATATTTTTTAGAATTAGCAACAATTATATAAGAGAAAAAAGTCATTCTAATTAAGTCATATATTACAGATACAAGTTAAGGAACATAGTTCAGAAGTTAGTAGGTATGAATTGGATGTGTAAATACAATGTAAGTAAATCATAAAAATGATTTAAGCCTAAAGCATGTAAAAATAGACAATCGTCAACACTACAAATTTTAAAGTTACCCACATATTCAAAGATTTGTTAAAGTGGCAACCTATGAGACCAAGAAATATAAAAGAGGTTAAGGATATGATCACTAGATGATAGAGAGATGATAGATAATAGAATATAGATGATGATATGACAATAATGGATAAATTTTTAAGAGAACAATATTAGTGATGTCTCAAGAACTGAAATTTGTAAATAATAACATTGTACATAAAGTTCTATAAAACAACAAATGTTCTAATGGAAAAGGGATATTCAGCAAAGAACTGGAACAGTCTTTCTTACCATTAATGTTAACTACAAGGGTCATGAGAGGAACCTATAAAAGAGAGAAAAGGATATATTCAGAAACTGTAAAGTACAAAGATAGCTTTTAATGAATGATCTGTTTTAAAAACTTATTATTTGCATGAGATAATTACAGAAATGTATCACTTTACATATATTTTATATGTAAAAAATATTAATTAAACTCAACAGACCTCCCCAATTATTAAATTGATATGAGCATGAAAGACATTTACAACAGTCCAAATCTCTATAACCAAGAGTATCTGCATGAACTTCAGATTCTTGTAAATTAAATATCTGACAGGAGGAGGGTCCTAAATAATTAGCCAGACCCAAGATTTCTACTCGTGCTTCTCAGGAATAAAAACAGATGCAGAAAATAACGTTCCTTAGTTCAAACAAACAAGAAAATATTTTCTGATGCACTGCGAATTTTGCTGAAATTTAACCTAGAATGCATAGATTTTTAAATTTAATTCTGACATTAATTTAATTTCCATTCTCACATTAGTGAAAGGTAGTTAACAACTTTCCAGAAGCATTCTAATAAAGCAGAGAATCTTCAGAAATATTTTAGAAAATAACCAACTCTCTGCCTAGATTCAGCTGTTGTAAAGTGCAACATATTATTAGGAAGCGTTTTGGGAGAAGAGGAAAAGTCTGTAGCAGTGTCTGCTGTAAATATGATTCAGTCAATCCATGTCATTAGGAGGAGGACCTGCTCTACCAGATCTATGGGAAATCCCAAGGATAAGATATAATGACATAAATACAAAGCAGGGTTGGGGGGGCATGGAGACAGGCAATGTTCCATGATTGGGATGATAATACAATCATGAAAATAAGCCCAAATAAATAGGAAAAGGTGACATAAAACTTTTAAAAAAGATGAGAAAATGAAAGCATGCATTTTGTTGACAGAGGTAGGAAATAAGACAAGAATTAAGATTATGGATTTTCTTTGTTGGTAAGAATAAGGGTGAAATGCTACAGATGATATTGAACTGACTCACTGCTACAATGAGACATTTGCCTTGAACATTTTTCCATTTCTACTCACCTCAGAAAAAAAATCATCACACATAGTAAACAGAATTTTTAAAATAATCCGCCAAGATTCCTGACCTAATTTCCTCATTTATGGTTATGCTGAGATGTCAGACAATTAAGACTCGCAGATTACTTTACACAATCAAGAAGGCTTTGCAATATAATTAAGGTTACTTAGTAGTTAGCCTTAAAATAAGGAGATTACTTGGGTTACAAGAGGCTTCTTTCTGCCACAAACGGAAGTCATTGTCATTCAAAGTACAAGGTAGATCTGGCATGCCATTACTGACCCTAAGTTCAAAACAGCCACTTGTCAAACAGAACAGGTAGTCTCCAGAAACTGAGAACACCTCCAGTTTACAGCCAATAAGGAAATGGGAGCCTCAGTGCTACAATCCTGAAGAAATTAATATTTTCACCATGAGAAAGGACTTAGAAGGGGATTCTTTCCCAGAGCCTCCAGATATGAGTTCAGGCTGTTCAATATCTTCATTTCAGCCTTGTGTTTCCTCGAGCATACATCCAGCCAACTGTACCCAACTGTACTTCTGAAAAACAAAGCTATGAGCTAATAAATGTTATATTCCATCATCGAACTTGTGATATTTTGTTATGCCGCAATAGACAACTAATACACCATAATTATACTGCCACAGTTTTTTTATGGAATTTTTTCAAAACAGATAGTAAAATACGCCTGGGCCCTGTGAGTAAAAGGAGAGTTAAACATCAAATTAATAATTTTACCTATCAGTTTGAGTACAAAGTATGTGTGACCCAACTCTTTTCAATGAAGGAAGCATTAATTAATATTTTCATACAATATCCTTAGAAGTTATAACAAAAATTGACATTATTTATTTAACTGGACATGTCTACAGATAATTATTTTGAATACTGGCTGATTTTTAAACATTAATTTAAAAGTAATCCAGAATTTTTAATTAAATATACCAATAAAATTCACCAAAAGTAGTATAGTGTGGCAGAAAGCACATTCAAATTTAGGTATGTAAGAGCTTCAGTGCTAATTACACAAGGAAGCAATTTACATGCTCTTAGAGAAGACATCTTAACAGTTTGCCCTTAGTTTGCTTATTTCCATAGTAAATTTGAATAATTTCTCTCTGAAATCTAATATTTATATCAGGACCAAACTAACTGGATAAAAAGTTAAATATATTGTTGAAAACAAGAAAATGATGGAAAAAGCAACTATTTGACTGCAGCAGAATAAAACTGTGTATTTGGGCACCTTCTCAAAATACTGTATAGAAATAACTGCTTTTAAAAATTGGGTCATTATATAGGAGATCTTGGTGAAATCATTTAAAGCATATTATTTCATATAATAATTACACATTTTCAATGTGACACATTTATAAGGAACAATACAGAATGAAAAAAGAAAAGGCAGATCATAGAGAAGTAAAAGGATTCAAGGGGGACATATGGCCTTGCTTTGATATTACCTTAAATCCTGAAATTAGAAAACATCAATTCAACCAGAAGAACAAAAAAGATCCCAGGGGAAAAATAAAGGAAGATACTAGGATGAAACAGTCAATGAAAAATAGGAAGGATGAGAATATTTTTCAAACAAGAGAATGAGACATCTGGGAAATAGGAATGCCTGTTGGAATATAAATGAGTCCAGATTATCATTTTCAGAAAGAATTTGCCATACTTCAACAGAAAATGAGAACCATGTCTATCATAACTCCATCTCTCTTAAGCCAACCTTCAGGAAATTTTTTGACATTAACAGATTTCCTTGTGCAAATAACAACTGCCATAGATCTGTCAACTTGGTGCCCGTATTCAGATGAAAATAGTCAATATAAAAATGAAGTATACTTCCATTGAAGCTGCCTAGAAAGAACAAATTTCTCAGGGGAAAAGTCTCAATTACCTGCTATCAGTAGGTCCCACCTGCTTCAGACTGTACTCTGGCAACTGTCAAGATACTTTTCCAATAGAAGAAGAAGAACTGTGGTCCTGTCCGTCCTGAAAACCCTCCCTTAATGACAGACAAAAGCCCTAACAAACAAGCTACTTCCTCTTGGAAATGTCATTTACCAATAAGATCCCAAAAGAAACGAAATGCTTGACAGATGATAACACTTCAACTATTAGATGAAGAGAAGAGTAACAAATTTCTAGGGAGTAGAAATTGCTAATTTTCTCTTGTCCCACAACCTAACCTATTATAGTGGTTAATACAATGGAAGTCATAACTGTACAAGTATGCTATGCTGTGTGCATAAACTCTACATGGATCAGTCAACAAAACAACATATAGAAAGATAATCATGAAGCAAACACTGCTATCTTTTCTATGTTGGAAGAAGTTGGTGCAAGTCTAGAATTTCCCAATAGCATTAGGAAACTAACTGAATTTTTTTCTCCCACATGATCTGACACACAGTTATCTTTCATTTTAGGAAAAAGTTAAAACTTCATTAGTCTTCACAGAACCATATATTGCCTATAATAGTGAATGTTTCTACTGCATTATTTTACACAAATCTTTGTCACTGTCATCCAGAAATGATACAAATAATTTCCATTTGATTCCAATGATACCCACATAAGACCTACTTGTCTGATTTGACACTCTCACTGATCTAATTTAAAAAAGAGTTATGTACTTGACCAAAAATTAACTTATAATTAATGTTCATATCTTTTGTAGAGGCTCAGAGTACTCCAATAAATTCTAGCTAAAAGGCAATAAACTAAAAGTAAAAACTAAATTGTCTCTTAGTTTCTGGAAATCACATGGTCTGATAGTTTCACATAAAAGTTATTACTAATCCGAGGCAACACTGGCCACCATTTCTTGCATGCTATGTGACAGGCATAGCTATGAGCTCTTTATTCCTATCATCGCAATTAATACATTGGGCCGGGGCTTTAGCTCAGCGGTTCGGTGGCCTGCCTCGCATATCATTTGTTTTACTATCGATACCGGATACATTCTTCTTATTAAAATGTCTATATGTTACTAGAATTGAAAAATACATTATAGCTATCAGGTAATGTATAAATTAATTTTGATAACTAATAAGGAAAGCAAATCATTTGTCATCTTGGTGGAATAGTGTCATTCTTGGGCCAGTTACACCGAGGAATTGATAAGATAGTTACTTTTGCTCTTTATTTTTATTTTTAAAACTAGTGTATATCTTTATGTTTAAATAATAATTTATTTTAATCTCAAATTTTCTAAACCATTAAAATTGGAAGAAAACATTGTAACCTGGAAGAGTCTAATGGTGAAATTTACCAAGGTGCTACATCAACCACAATAAAGCTGCATGTGCTTCCTCATTTTCATGTGTACTTTTCATGTGTATTTCTGTACAGAATGTTACATTGGGGAGCTTACCCATCATTTTATCTGCATTGTACATATCTAAAACAATCTACTAATTGAAATTATTTATTATACTGTATATGGTCACAAAAATATAGCTATCATTTATGATGTTAATAACATTTAAGTATCACCATTTACATGTTTCAATAAATCCTGAGGCTTTTCAGGAACATTAAATTCACCTACTAAGAATATATAAAATATTTTCATTTTGCTCTTTTTTATCACAGAAGAAATGCATGAGCAAAAGAAATTGTTTAAAATGATAAATTGAATCAATAACTCAAAATGTTCTTCCTCTGAAATACAATGATTTGAAAATAATCTGGAGATAAAAGTGAGATCAAATTTTTCAGTAAACTATATCACACGGGAACATTCTTGACAAAACGACACCAACTCCATCACCAGCAAAAACAACTTATCAGTGTGAGAACCAACTAAGAGATAAAAGAAGCCACACTAAACAGGAGTAGATATATAAACTGAATTCACCTAAAGATAAAAAGACCAAAAAATAATTTGCAGAAAACAAATGTTACAAAGATTTAGTGCTGTAAGGCAAATTATGCGGAAGGGAGAGAAAAAAATAAGGATAGAGTAAGAACATCCATTCCTTTTCCTTAGGCTAGCATCAATAGATCAACTTTAATGCATACACAATATGAAACAGAGTTCGAAGTATAATGCATAAAGCCAAAAAGAGAACAGCAAGAAAGACTAACTATAAGAGTTCAATGAATAAAATTTGGAAGACAAAAAGGTAGAAAGAAATCTGTGTGTTTATTTTGTCATTCAAAAGGATGTGGCCAATACACACAATGTTTTTGTAATACTTTCTCTGTGTGTGTTGTTGTTATTGTTTTGTTTTGTTTTGTTTTTTTCCTCATTTCTGTCTTTGGACTCCTCCCTTAAAAACAAACTATTGATTTTATTATTTTAATTTTAATTTTTTTACAGTTTTAAAAGGCCAAACGATAAAAATACCCTGTATTGCTTGTGTGTAAGTTTATCACACTGATCCTAAAAGAAACGCCACTAAGAATATTAACTGCCAGGCTTTGAAATGACGTAAAAATGGGTCGACACAACTGTCTTGCAACTTAGTTGACCTAGTTGTCCAAAGAGAAGAAAAACGAAGAGGACAAAAAGTCTGCCAACATATCTACAAAAACCATGATTAAAGCCAATAGCGTACTACAACCCTAAAACCCAGAGAAAAACGTGAATAAGAAAAGATGCAAGGATATGGGAGGGGAAGGTGTTTAGCACAATTTACTGCGTGCACAAGATTATCTGACCTTGTGGAATGCTCTCTGGGAAAGTGACTCTTAAATAGTCCCAGGAACTAAAGACGACGAACCTCATTTCCTCACTGTGTTCTTAGAAGCACTGTAGAAATAGCACTTTGTGTGTGTTGTTAAATTGATCTATATGACTGATGTGAGGATAAAAATCTTAATTATATTAGTTATATTAATTTCAAATATTGATGGCAAACATTCAATAAAATACAGCTCTTTTTTGAAACATGAAGTCAGAAAGTGGGTCTTCCATAGTCAGTGGTGTTCCCAGAATAAAGCTCCTTTTTGCTCTACCAAACTAAATGTGAATTTTCCATTCTCATGTCCTAAGGCAATAGATCCACTTCCAGGATCCACGTCTAGATTCCGTGAAAGAAGAAATGATGAAGGAGAACAAAGGGGAAGGCCATATCCTAAAATTTAAAAATACTCTCTCATAAAACCCCAGCTGATTTATCCACTGGTGAGTTCACAGAGAAAGGTGCTCCTCAAAGAAGCTGAGGCCAGGCTAGAGGGAGGACTGGGGGACAGTCTGGAAGGGTGTATCTCCTTCCTTGGATCTTCTTTTCTCTCTGCTCCTTGGTTGTCACGGATTGAGTTCCTTTTCTTCTGCTATGCCCCTCTGCATCCTGTTTTGACCATGGACTAAAACTGCGACCAAAATGAACCTTTCACCCTCTACACTGTGAGTTGTAGGTACTGCGTTTCAGCCACAGCAAAGTGACTAAAACTAGCATTTTCCAGAGAGCCTTATTATTTTATTTTATTATTATTATTTTTTTTTGTGGTACCGGGGATTGAACTCCGGTCTTTGTGCTTGCAAGGCAGGCCGCTGAGCTAAATCCCCAGCCCAAGCCCTATTATTTAAAAAAAAAAATCATTGCCAGGCATGGTGGTGCACGTCTGTAATCCCAGCACTCGAGAGGATGAGACAGGAGAATCACTGTGAGTTCGAGTCCAGCTTGGACTGCGTAGTGAGTTCAAGGTCAGTCTCAACTACATAGTGTGACCCTGTCTCAATAAAACAAAAAAAGAATAAATAAATAAAAATTTAAAAATTGTATCTTGAACCACCGCTATATATTTTCTAAATGCTCCTGACAACTCATTTTTTTTTAGGACTTGAGCTAGAGGACTTAATATTAAAACTCTTTTTTTTGTCCTCACCCACATTACAATTGCATTTTATTTACCACTGTACCAAAATTTAGAGATATATGGATTTTTATTAAAGATTTTTCTAGAAGAGACAGAAATTTAGATTATATGCAATCTAGTACTGAATATCATAAATACACATTTTTCATTCTTCCCAGACAGGCCAGCAGAATATTCTCCTTTGATAAAGTTCTTTCAAAAGAAATGCAATATTATTAGCCCCTTGTGGCCTAACTTCCACATTGATTGCCTAATGCTTAGAATTTCTAACAGATTTTTATTATACAACATAAATAAACTTGATTTCAGTGTTCATAAATTAAAGAGCCATTCATGGGAACAGAGTCAACAAAATACCTTCCAGATACAGAAATACACTCTCTTTGAAAGGTATCATAATTACATAAAACATGTGTTCCTAACTCTGACTTCACAGTTAAATTAAAAGAATTCCTACTTGTGTTCAATGTGCATTTAGACAAGTTTCTTTCCCTCTCTATATCTCCATTTCTTCCCTTTCAAACAGGATATTGAGATAATGGACATAATCTTAGAGGTGTAATGAGGCATAATTATGATAATATATGCAAAATACTTGCCATAACACCTGGCATATACTAACAAAATGAATAAATAATAACTATATCTGTTGCTATAGTTCAAAAGTAATTTTAGGTTATTTTAAATAACTCTTTTATTTGCATACATAAAACTGAGAGGTTCTCTTAAAAGGATGCCAGGACAAGTTTCTCCTTTTATTAGAAAGTGTCCTGTTTTGATACCTAGTTAAGACTTCATTACATAGTACCTTAGGGATCAATAGATGACCCAATGTTATTCTGAAAATTGGATTTATTCAGATATATTTTCTCTATACAGAAAATTATTGGAAGTAGTTACCATAAGGAATTCGGACTAAAAATAGGAAGCTGTTACATACTATAAACTCCACAAAGAGTTTTAAGAAGTGAACCGAAGTCATAAAACTAAGTGAAAATATCAGCCGTTTCACCCACTATGCAATGTTTCTCACATTACTTACCTTTACAAGCCCTCAGTTTCATCAGTTGTAAGATATGGTTACCAAAAATCAAGAAATCAATAAATATTTTCTAAGCTGAATGTCAGCATTTTTTGTTCTTCTTTTTGAGATAGTCTCAGTATGTAGTTCAGGCTAACATCAGACTTAAGATCCTCCTCCTTCAGTGTCCCTAACGCTGGGATTACAGGTGTGTCCCAATCTCAGATCGAATTTTTTATTGTCTGATTTTTTTTCAGCACTGAGAATTTAACCAAGAGTTTCATGCAGGCTGGGCAAACACTATACCACTAAGCTACATCCCCAACTCTTAAGGAATAGGGGACAACCCTCGGTGGCCTCCAACCACAAACCTTTCTGCTTTTCACTATCTACACTCAGTTTCCCAAATTCTCAAAGAACAATTCTGTATGTTTGCTTCCACTAAAATATCTCCCCATGAGAAACTGAAAACAACTTTTACTATAAAGGTTTTAAATATTTGGGCTTAAAATTCCTTGATAGCATGATGTCATAAATTTAAACATTGGATTCACAGCAGATTAGAAGGCATAGCTTTCTGGGGGCATTGGTTACCCAGGGAGGTTTCAGAAATTTCTCCTCCAGGTGCATTAACCCTAAGATGATTTTAGGATTATCCTATTTGAAGCAGATTTTGTTGTCAAGATAAGCTAAGCCTCTTATGTTCTGGTCTCTCACAGTATAACCTAGTGGAATTGCTTCAAACTGGAAGCTATAATTAAATCTGTATGAGTTAGTTAGCTATTGCCACAAAACACAGCTTGGCCAGCAAACACACAGTGTTCTATTTATTTTGCTCACCTGCAGAAGAGCTCACCTGGACTGAGGTGAGCTGGGGAGGCTCTGCTTCAAGATCTCCTGTCTCTCAGGAATCAACTGTGTCAATAAGACCTGTGCTCAAAGAGACAGAAGAAATACAAAAATATGAGCATAAACTAATAGCCCCTGTTAAGGCCTGCACTAGGAGCTGTTATGCTATTGCTTCTACTTTACTCTTCAGAATACATCGTACGGCACAACCTAAAGTAGGGGTCATGGAAATATCAACATCTATTAGTAGGATAAATTACAAAGCCACATAGCCAAAAGAGTATATAAAAGAGGTAAATAGAATTGAAGCCATTCATACAATCTTCTGCAGCAGTGGTTCCCAACATTTTTAGCACAAGGGAATGGGGGAACACTATTCCTATGATGCTCCATCTCAGATCAATGGGCATTAGATTCTCAAGGACTGCCCAGTCTAGGTCCCTCACCTGCGCAGCTTACAGAACAGTTTGCATTCCCGTGAGAATCTAATGTCTCAGCTATGCGACAGGAGGCAGAGCTCCCACGCTAATGTGAACAAAGGGTGTGGCTAGAACAGATGAAGTCTCAATTGTTTACCCAGTTCTCACTCACCTCTCACTGTCCTGCTGTGCAGCTCTGCTCCTAACAGGCCCTTGATCAATACCTGTCTGTGGCCCGGGACTTGGGGAGCCTTGTTCTACAGTATTTGAATAGGATTCTAAGCGTAAGGCCCGGTTTGCCTAGCATCTCCCATTTTTCACTCAACATTTTACTTTGTTCTGCAAGAGTCTTCCCTGAGATAGTGTGCAATGGAAGGGCTGTTTGGTAACAATGTGTAACTCTAATGAAAATATAGATTTCGCTGTTATTTAATGGTTCTGTTTTTAATGAGATAACTTCTCAACTTGAAAATAGTTTCTTTGGAAAGAAATACACACAAACACACACACACACACACACACACACACACACAGAGGCAGATTTGAAAGGTCACAGAGAGAGAGAAGACTGCCTTTTGAGCATCTGACACTGCATTTCTCCAGACTCAAGTAGAATATTTCCAGACTCCACAAAGAGACCATATGCTCCAATTTCCTTAATATTAAAACTGCCTCTTCTTGCTTTATTTAAGGTGATATTTATAGTTCCCTCTGCTCTATACGCAAGTACCTAAGCATTTATCCCTGATCATTATTGTCTATTAAATTATTTCTTGCAGGTTTCACATAGCAGATTCTGTGAGTCATTGTTCCATATCACCATGTGTAAATGCTATATTTTCTTCAAGGTGAGGGACATTTAGTGTTGAATTTTTTTATTTTTTCCATATTTATGTGGTTCTTCATCAAGTAATAATACTATTTAGATGAAAACATGAGAGGAAGAGGGACAAAGTAGGATTAGCTTACAGGAAGGCATGGGATGTAGGGGCAAGAAACTGAGATTAATAAATTAAGGGAAGAAGGAATGGCAAGTACAAAGGCAGAAACAATCATGGTAATTCATATTTTGTTTTGAAAAAATGGACATGATTTATCTTGTAATTTTTTTCTTCTACAATTTAATATTAAAACAAAATTATATTCTTGGGCAGAGTGATGACTCATTTGAGCCATGTCAACTCAGAAGCTTTTCGAGGTATCAAATTCTGCAACTTTGCTGCAAACATTCCATTTCATAACTATTCCTCAGATAAATAACTCAAGATTTGATGGTATTCATTGCAGAATTAGAATACTGTACACTTAACTTATGGATGTAATAATCCAGGAATCTTCAAAGCATCAAAACTATCTTATATATGTTTAGTATATAATTCACCTAGAATTTCTCATTAGATCATAAGATTTTATTAAATTACCCATGAGATCAGTTATGTGGTAATTCTCACACCGATGCAGTTCATTTTACAAACCTATGTTTATAAAATTGAGCACTTAATTAAATACTAGAAACTATAATATTATAACCATAGGTCACAATAATACTCAGAGTAAAGTGTATATATGTTTTTATTTGAATATTATTTGACTTAGTGCAGCAATTGACAATGGTTAATAGGCCAAATTTGACATGGGAACCTGGTTTTATAAAAAAAAAGTTTTATTAGGACATAGCCATATTTTTTTTTTCATATTGTTTATGGCTGCTTTCCTACTACCAGGGAAGGCATGATTAGCTGTATTAGTAGTCATATGGTCCACAATGTTTAAATAGTATTTGACCCTTTATGGAATAACTTTGCTAAGCTTTAATTTAGAGTGTGGTGACTGAATGAAAGCTATCAGAGCAACCTTCTCTAAGCAACGGCAGAAACCTGTCACCAACCCTAGGCCAGAAGTGGGAAGGAAAGGAAAGAATGTCCTTGAGGGCTGAAGAACCCTGGGGATAGAAAACAAGGCCTTTGTACTAGGACTGTCACGATAAAAAGACACAACTGTAAAGGGGAGGTACATAGCTCTCTACCTCTTCACCTTGCGCTCTTTTCTCTTGCGTGTGGCATCATGGGCAAAGTGGGTAGTGAGAGAGCAGATGAGACCAGGTTTAGAATACAGTCTACTGCTGCATAGTTCATGATAAAAAAGTTAGAAAAGAAAAACTTGCAGTATGGAGAAGAATAAAACAGAAAAACTATCATAATCACCAGAGCTAATTCAGAATAAAAAGTCTGACTGGAAGGCTGTAATCTCTAAGTTTTTTTCCCACATTCTGATTTAATGACTATGGGAAACAAAGGTAAAAAGAAGAGAAGAAGAATAATGGCTTAAAATAGTTTTTAAAAGGGACAGTTAATGAGAACAAAAAGAACTAGGTAAATGAGTAGAGCTGTGACAATTTAATGACAATGAGCAAATTTTACAACAGCAAAATGAGCAAGTTTATGAACAGACATTTGTGCCATTTTAAATATAATTATGTTCATGTGTTTAGTTTGATTTACAGCCTTTAAATGTGCTTTGCACAGAAAATTTTAATTATGTATTTTTAGGCATTTTTACTTAGGTAATTCAATATGTCCAAGGATATTAAGATGCTTTCTTCTATTGGTTGCAATCAGTCAATGGAATTGGCAGAAAAAAATTTATCCAGGCTAGGAGTATACAAGGCATTCTTGCAATCGGCCAACGATACTGGTTGATTTTACTTTCTAAATACATCTTAAATTTCCCACTTCCATGCAACTCCACTGTCAACCCCCTAAAGCCACTTTGCCTCTTACCAAGATTGCTCATTAACTAATCTCCATTTTTCAACTCAGACCCACACAAATTGTAAGATACTTATCTTTTAAACTGTCAAAACTGAAATATTTCATTTGAAGTTCTTTAGCCACTTATTTTTGCCTAGCACATGAACCAAAATGCTATAAAACTCTGGGTCTGGGCCCTGCTTTCCTAGCGAGCACCTCTCTTGTTTTACTTTGAACCTTTACTGCTCCAGTTTTCTGCAATCACTCTTCATGCATCAGCTTTCAGTAAATTGTGGGGCGGAGGTGGGGGGTGAGGTTTTAGTTAGGCGGCATAGGGCCTGCCTGCAAGCACGAGGTCGTGAGTTCCATCCCAGGTACCAAAAAGCAAGCAAGCAAAAGAACAACAGCAAATGTTGAGTGGTTGAGTAAACTGACAGGGTGCTTGGAAATACTTCTGCGATCACCTTCAGATTATGATCTTAAAACCTGTTTTCCTTACAGTTTCCAAGTACTCCAATTAGAAGCAAGGTGACTATTTGCTTAATACCTAGAAATATAGTGTAGGCTTCATAGAGAGCCTCAGACTCTGTTTTTGATCACTAATTTATTTTTAGCTTCTAGCGCAAGTCAGACATCTAATAAGTACTCACTAACTATTTTGAAAATGAATGAGCCTTATTTTTTTTAAGGCAAATAGAATTCAAATACTGAGTAGTTAAGGAAAGGAATACTCTCGTGTCAAATCACACTCTCAAATTCACATTAACTCTTTCACAGTCTGCTTTGCAGTATAGCTGGGGATTAGATTCTGCAACTGTATTTATCCTTTGTAAGCAATCTTCCTGCCAATAGGGGGAACTGAAGGAAAATTGCAAATCAGACCGAGGAAAGAGACTTTCCCTGTCTACTTCTTTCTTTTCTTTTAAACTGCTTTACTGAGATATAACTGACATATGTAAAGCTGTAGATATTTAATGTACACATCTTGATGGGTTTTCAGATAAATATACACTATGAAACTATCAGTGCCTTAAACTAATCCATCACCTAAGTTCCCTGCAACTTTTTTTTCTTTTTCCCCCCTTTGGTGGTGAAACCATTTAGTATAAGGGTTACATTTTTCAAAAACTTTCCAGCTTATGCTATTGGTTCACTAGGCCAATGGAATAGCCTTGCATTTTGGATATGAATTTGGTTTTATTGCTAGCATTATTACTTGTGAACTTCTGGAGTACATTTTTTTATACTCTATATAGTGTTTCTCATTACCAAGGAACTCATCTACTGCAAAAGTATTAGTGGTCATGCCCATAGAATCATTGGTCTTATTACATAGCACCAACCCTGAAAAACATGGGCCTAGAAAACAATTTTTTAAAAAGCCTATTAAAGATTCAGTTATGGTATTAATTGTAAAATAAATTCAACTTACTGAGATTCTATTTGATACACTGTGGATCACCTATCAGAGCAACAATTTTAGGGTCGGGGATTTAGCTCAGTGGTTCTGCTGCCTGCCTTGCAAGCGCAAGGACCCGAGTTCGATCCCTGGTAAAAACAAAACAAAACAAAAAAAAACCTTGCATCAGAGCAACAACTTTACATGGTGTTGTTCCTTCCCTACAGAGGCCACAGGCACACAAATCAAGAAGAAGGAATGACTCTACCTGCTATTGAACCTAGGAATTGATTCAGAGAACTTGTATGCCTGATTCGGAAATTTTGGTTCTTAGTAGTTTGAGGTCCTATTTTTCAAGGAAATAAAGCTTTTATAATTCTAGCTCCATTGCAGTGCTGAAACTGTCCCTTCATGATTTTGACCTCTTTATGTCAATAAACTAAAAGATAAAAAAGAGGATAATAGGGATAACTGTTCATGTTTATTACGGATAAAGTTAGGTTTATATACAATGACCATATCTTAAACACTGGGGAGTCTCTGAGAGGCTTACTACTTCTATATTTAATTATAAAAGTCAATAGAAAAGTGACTGAAAAAGAAAGTCACTGAAAATTTCAAATCCTGTTAATTACCATGTAAAGAGTCACAATCATGTAAGATGCTCACTTGAGGAAAATGCTGAGAGGGGAAAATGATTTAAGAAAGTTGTAAGCAGCATCTACAACTTCATGGCAATTTACAGAAAAGAGACTATAGTAAGTATATATATAATCACACATACACACACACACACACACACATAAATATATATTTGATTCCTCTTAATCCATCTTTCCTCAGTGTTTCACATAAAAATTGTTGATAGCTGCTGTTTTATAGTTTGCTCTCTAGCCCCTTATATATTCAAGGAACCAGTGACCATATGAGTATCTTTATCATTTCCCAGCAATGGAGTCAGACTATTGGAATTCTGTGTCTACCTTTTCGGCTAGAAAAGTGAATTTTTCTGTTTGTCTAAATGCTAGATGATTCAGTTTGGAGGGAAGCATAAACTTGTTGGAGTAAGTGTAGATTAGTACTGAATAGCATGCTGAGCAGCACTTGTTTTTTAAGCTCTTGGGTCCGGTCCAAATCTCTTCTCCTGACCTCACAGTGTGGTGTTGGGCTAGAATTTGGTGGGGGTACATATACCAACTCATTCCAATAGAAAAGAGCCAACTGTTCATTTTGAGGAATTTTGAAAGCTGGTTGTACATCATTATTTTAAAATATGTAAACAGTATTTAATAAATTATACTCAATGTAAAGAAAGTGAATACTCAAAGCATCACTGCTTAACTACTTTCCTATAGTTTGATATTATCTACTTTGAGGTAATTTACATCAATTGTATCTCTCTTGTATCTGATTGATATCATTGCGCTATTCTTCATCTTAATGTCATTAAATTAATTACAATGGAAATATTTACCGCATAAAAATAGATAAGCCCTAAAAGTCAAGGCTTTTTCTTGTCCTACAGAATCTGCTTGTTAAACACATATGAGGATACTAGCTAGAACTGTGTAAGTTACATTTTTTTTTTTATCATTTAGTCATCTTTTGTGGTCTTAACAATGTATGGCATTAGTGCACAGAGACTGAAAGGCAGGGAAAGGAAAAAAAGAGCTTCATCCTTCCTGTTTGATTGCCCTTCTGTCAGTATACGGCCTATAAATGGTCTTCACCCCAACTGCAGCAGCTTGCTCCATCTCTGGCTTCTTTCAGCACTCCCAGGACTTCATTGGATTCCAAAGAACAACACACTGAACTTTTACACATGGGTGAAAAATACACCTAACTCACTCTGCGTTTTTCATGTTTAATCCAATTTTCAAGATGAAAACAAGCCTGTTTTTAGATAGATCTTATCTAAATTAGATTTATTTAATGATAAATTTTATTTTTAATTTTTCATCACGAGATTTAAGCTAGAGTACATGCTAGAAGTTACATGAGAAATATAATCATGTCATAAATTTCCCAGTTACTTTTGGTACTTAGGTGTTCCCTCCCTTCCTCTGAGACTAGTTCTTAAATCACACAGAATTATCCTATTATAGTTAATTACACACATGCTGTATCTTGACATTTTTCTCTCCATATATAAAATAGAACGCAAGACATCTCTCCTTCTTATTTTGAAACAGTACTTGAAAAAGGTAATTATAGCAGTTTATCAACATCAAGGGACTTCTGTAAACATTTAATAACCATTTATTCATTGGTGAATATTTTAAATTACTGATAATTGGATCATACTCCCACACAGTAATACCATCCTATCATTCTTACTGTGAAGTATAATACTGAAAGTTGGACCAGATGGTCTTGTTTTCATTACTTATTTTTAGTAAGCTTTGCACTTAGAGAAGATTTTTATGATGACCTCATTTATGTGTTAATCTTGAACAAACAAATCTAACAATAACCCTTTATATTTGCAAGGCATAATATCTTGATCATAAAATATTGATTTAGAATTTATTCTGCTATATCTTTCACTCAGTGTGTTTTTTGTGTACACATTCAGTACATGCATGGGTATTTTTATTCTTTTGTTCATATTGAAAATATTTATTACATTATACATGTGTGTAGGGTTCTCTAAAAGAACAGAATCAATGAAAAAAAATATATATATATATACCTTGCAAGGGGATTTATAGTTAGGCTTACACTGCAGGATTAGAGGCAGGAGAATCCAGAATCACTGTTCGTACACTGGAGAGCCACAGCATACAGCAATTGCTCAGCCAAGAAGATGGAAACCAAAGAACAAGAGGAATCAAGGATGCAGCATCAGTCCAAGATCAAAGGCTTGGCATCTCAGCTTTGCAGGTAACGTCTGCGTTAAAAGGAAAAACAAAACAAAAAGATGAAGACCTGGAAACCAGTGTCTGAATGCAAAGTCAGTGAAGGGTGCACCCATTCGGGAAGACTGGAGCTCTTCAAAGCCAGTGCACTTCTTTATTCTTTCCCTTTTTATTACACGCGGCTACAAACCCTATTGCTAGTTGCCACCCACAACCAGGGTGTGTCTTCCTTCCTTGGTTTGCTAGCCTACATGGCAATTAGCCCTGGACACACCCAAAAGTGTACTTTACTAATCCACTAGGCATTTCTTAATTCATTCAAATTGCCATATCGTGATCAACTGCCACAGTTTGTACTACACTTGATCTTAGCCAAAGGCCAAAAAGCAACCGATGATCATATAATGTACTTTGTTCTTATGTTTCTGATGCCCCATTTTTCAGTATTTTTTCTCTTCTGTGAAATAGAGTTTATTAGTACGAAGGAAGACTCACTAATATTATGGTAATTTGTCATTCATTACTCCATCTTCAAAAGGACCTGAAACAAAATCTCTCCATTTCGAGAGGACAACTGTAGTAAGTCATTTGAAACTTCACAACTCTAAGAAAGAAGTCTAGCTTGCCATTTACAATTCATGTAGACTGAGATAGAGCCGATTAATGTCCATAAATGATTTCAGGAAAGACTGTGAAATCAATACATTTTAATAATGTCTTTTCATATTATGTTAAGAATAGAGAGGACTACACTCTCATCATTAGGCTTTGAGTTTAAGCCTCTTATTTTTCTTTATAATTCTAAAGAATATTTTGCCCTGTAAGTTCTCCATTATATTCAAGATATGTTATAAGTGTGTAGAAATTATGATTTTTGTTGTTGTTGTTACAGTGGGACCAATGCTGTTTCCAGTTTCCTATATCCAAAACATAGTCAGAATCCATTCATTTGTTTTTAGGCCGAAAGAAACCCAACTTTTTAAAAACTAGATAAGTATTCCTTTATGTAAAGGTATACAAATGGTATCATTTGTTCTTCTACCAAAATATTAGAAAAAAAATACAAAATGCCTTGTCCTAAAGTCTCCAGTGGCTTAGGAATATACAAAATCATGTTCAATAACACATCAAGCGTTAGCATATTTGCTTATTTCACAATCCATGTAAGTCAGCTTTTTATTTCACTACTTCATTCTCTCACCTTTCTATTTAATTTATTCTGTTTTCAGTATTTTTTTCCTTATCTTTTAATGCTCATATGTTACTAAAATTTCTAAAATTTTCTTTAAAATGTGAGAATACAATTTTTAAAATGAATTAAGCTCAAGAGTTCATGGTGACTATCATTTATAATGATACATAGTATACCTGAGAATTGCTAACGAGAGTAGATTTTAAGTGTTCTTGCCATAAAAACATGGTAAGTGTGGGAGGTAATGCATTTATAATTTAGTATGATTTAACACACACACACACACATATTATGTTCACATAATACAGTTTTTGCTGTTAATATAATTCAAAATAAGTTATAGACATGTAAAATTGTATTATTCTAATTAATATACCAATTTATTTGGTATATTTTAAGCTTAATTTCCAGTTTTCCAAAAAAATTATTTTGGTTATTTCGACATCTATACCGTCAGACCTAGTTACAGTAAGCAATTTAGCACTTTGTTTACACACTCTAAGTTCTCTAACACCTTTGAGCATCACAGTCAGTTGATCCGTGTGATACGATAGACCTGAGGGAATGGGATGTTGGTAAAGATGCTGAACGGAGCATTTAGGAGACAGAAGAAGGTGAAATTCAACCATATTTCTAGATAATGGAGATTGTCAGATAATTATTATTCATTAGAAATATGAATCCTCGTGTGCCACTGAGCGCTACTGAAGATGAAGTATTTGTGCTAGGAATGCAACTACAAATTCTAAGCTGCCTGTGGAGGATTATGAGAAAATGCCCTCAGCTTTATAACAAGTGAGGATAGCAGCCATCTACTGTGGGAGGCCATATGTATCAGTCATCTGCACTGTAATCATATTGCATAACAAGCAACAAGAATCTCAGTACCTTACAACAAGTATGCATTTTCTTTAACCATAGGCTGTGAGTTGGCTGGAATAACTCCAGGCTGTAAGCTGACATATCATTCATTCCAAGGTAAGTAGTTACCTCTGACTTACGCCTCTAACAATGAGTAACAGAAGCCCAACTGAGAAAAGGGGGACTGATGGAAA